ATTTTACACTTTATATGGTAACAAAGATGTATTCCAGTACATGAACAACTGTTTTCCACCATTTTCATGGCGCTGTTTTTTTTCCCTTCGTGTCATCTGTGCGCAGAGAACTGTGGGTAACCGATGGCTTGGAAGGATACATCTGATGCGTCCTTGAAATCAGTCAGAACGTAGGCTGCATTTCTAGGCTGTACACGAAGGATCCTTTACTTTGCAACGGCCTTCTATGACATAGCGGCCAAGAAATGTAGCCTACCTTGGCTGCAGCCTAGGCTTTGGAATGCAGCTTACATGTTTTATTGACACAATGAAAAAACACCACCGCAATAGACAATAAAACTAAATCTCTATACTGACTATGTACATTATTCCTGTTAACATTAGTTTTTTTGTGTTTTGACATATAAAGTATGAGATATCAATACAATAAGTGTAATTGCAAGCATATGAAATAACTGTTGTGTGAATTACTTTATGTAGGCTTTAGCCTTCTGACGCACTAGTCAGACCAAATTTGCACCCCTGAGGATATGTATATCCATATTATCTGAAATGTGCTGAGATCACAGTCCTTTTTAAACTTCGACATCTAAGCATTTGCCTCTGGTTGTTTTTGGTCATCTGTGTCATTACATCATTAGTTCATGCACAAAAGAGCTGATAAAAGATCAACGTAACTAAAAAAAATATGTTCATTCATAAAGGTAAACTGCATGAAGTAAAACTGCTGAGCACATCAAGATCACTATCCAGGATGTAGGCATAGATGCATCAAAGACAATCGTAAAGAAAAGAATATGCCAGCATGGCCTAGAAAACCTGTAGTGGTGAATCTATGAACAGATGGGACGAAGACTAACATGTACCACAACAATGGAATGAAGAAAATATGGAGAAAAAGAACTGCTCATGATCCAAAACAAACCACCTCATCTGTGAAGCATGGTGGCATGGTGACATGTCTGGCTGCCAGTGGAATTGGCTCACTTGTGTTTATTGATGAAGTGACTGCCAACGGCAACAGCAGGAGGATGTATTCTGAAGTGTACAGAAGTGTCTTAACTGCTAAGATCCAACCAAATGCCTCATAACAAAGTTGACAGCACTTCACCTTGCAGTAGGGCAACGATCTGAAACATACAAAAGCTGTCTTACAGAAGCAACTATGAAGATTTTTTTAGGGCAAAACATGTGAAAATGTTCTTCAATGGCAAAATCAATCATCCTACCAGAGCCCCACTGAGCATATATTTCAATTATTGACAAGACTGAAAGCAAGGAACCTCTGAAACAAGCAGGAAGCAAAAACTGGTGCCTGGCAGAGTGCCACCAAAGAAGATATCTAGCATGTGGTTAGGACTATAGGTCGCAAACTTAGGGAGGGATCAATTGCAAAGGACTTGTTAACAACCACTGAACATATTAATGTTACTTAAAACTAATTTCAATTGTATAAAATGTGTTATAAGGGAGGTTTTTCCTAAGATATGGTTCAACCAATATATATATATATATACACACATACATACATAATCTAAACCACTTATCCTTCTGGGTCACGGTGGGGTGCTGGAGCCTATCCCAGCTGTCACTGGGCAGAAGGCAGGATACACCCTGGACAGGTCGCCAATCCATCACAGGGCAGACAGACATACACACACACACACTCACACCTAGGGGCAATTTAGCATGTCCAATCAGCCTGACAGCATGTCTTTGGACTGTGGGAGGAAACCCACACAGACACGGGGAGAACATGCAAACTCCACCCAGAAATGACCCCGGTCGCCCGGCCGGGAATCGAACCCAGGCCATTCTCGCTGTGAGGCAACAGCGCTACCCACTGCGCCACCGTGCTGCCCTATATATATATATATATACACGCATTATTATTATATATGCACACAATATACCATGTAAATACTGGAGTGCAGAGCCAAAGCAACAAAAACTGCCCAAATACTTATGGACTGCACTGTATGTGTTTGGTGTACTTTTTTAACTGCAAGTAATAATTGCATCTCAGACTGATTACAGTTATCATCATCATTATCATGTAGCCAGATTTCCATGCAGACCCCCTGATGTTCAGTAATAGGAATCTAATCACACAGACAGACAGATAAAGTCAGAAGTGTCAGATATATAAGTTCATTAATTTTTACTATACCAGCAGAAAACCACCTGCCTCCTAAAAACACAGGATTACTCACTCAAAACTGTATTCCCCACAGTGTTCGCAAACCCTGCCTGTCAGTGGGGGTTCTGCTCTCTGATGCGTCTGTGAACCCAAAGTAGGAGTGCCTCAGAGCTCAATGTTAGGGCCAACAGCTTTGCTCACAGTGAGAGATTCTGTACAGTCTTCTTGCCTCTCATACTTATTGCTCTTTACTTTTACACTATTTAGCAACAGCTGTGGATTAAGAGCCAGTGTTCTTAACGCAGCCTACACAGTGCAAAATGGGCTAATGCATTTCCTCATGGTTTGGGCAAAACAACCCAAGTACAAAGTGTTCCTGTTTTGGTAAGATGTATAAAGGACTTCCTAGATATTTCTGGAACTACGAGAAACAAGGTTACATAAAGTTATAGTCAGATCTGTATTATGAGAATATCACTGCATCACCAAAATATCACTGGAAACAACAGAACACAGGTTTTCCAGAGTGCTATACCAGAGTGGCTATACCGTGTAGGATAATGCTAATCCCCACAGTGTTCGCAAACTCTGCCTGTCAGTGGGGGGTTCTGCTCTCTGATGTGTCTGTAAGCCCAAAGTAGGAGTGCCTCTGAGTTCAATGTTGGGGCCAATAGCTTTGTTCACAGTCAGAGATTCTGTACAGTCTTCTTGCATCTCATCCTTATTGCTCTTTTCTTTTACACTGTTTAACAGCAGCTGTGAATTAAGAGCCAGTGTTCTTAACACAACCAACACAGTGCAAAACAGGTTAATGCCTTCACTCATTGACAATACCAGTCCCCACAGTGTTTGCAAAATCTACCTGTCAGTGGGAGTTCAGCTCTCTGCTGTGTCTGTAAGCCCAATATAGGGGTACCTCACAGCTTAACGCTAGGGTCTACAGCTTTGTTCACTGTGAGAGTTTCTGAACAGAAAGTGAGCCTCCTCACCTCTCATTCTTATTACAGTCTTCTTCTATGCTGTTTTGCAACAGCAGGGAATTAAGACAAGTAGCACAAGATTACAGCATATGTCCTCCAGTGTTTTTAACACAACAAACACAGTGCAAAAATCGGCTAATATCTTTACTTTTCGTAGTTGGGGCAAAACAAACCAATTACAAAGAATTCCTGCTTTGGTACCACATATAAAGGACTAAGAACTTCTGGAACTATGCAAAAAGGGAATTTCTTCAAACAAGTTAGTCCGGTCTGTATAACCAGAATATCATTGGAAACAACAGAATACAGGTTATGAGAGTGTGGTACAATGCATGGAGGGACTGTTCAGATTTAGCATGCGTGCATTAACATTTGAAAGCAGTATGGAATTGAAAGTTGCTTGTGAAACTGTGACATTTACAGGCTTTGCTCTGCTCTTATTCACCCAGCGCTATTAGCATAGACGCATAGGCCTCCCTAAAGGACACACAAGTCAAGGTTTTCTTGTCCTTTGGGCTCGTGTTAGCACTCCCCTGATCATCAGCACCCATATGCAAACCAATACAGCTTTAACAGAAAGAAGAAAGAGAGAATTGATGGAGATTGGAGATAAGAAGAGGGTTTCAGACAGGCTAGAGTTCTCTGTTTCTGTTGTTTGTTTTCTCACTTTCTCTCTGCTTTCCATGGCAGCCTAATACAGAGAATGAAGCAAATACGCAAGTGGATCAATCAGAGAAGATTACAGCATACGTCCTCCAGCACACCAACCAACATGGACCAAGCCTAAGCCAGTAAGCAACCATTATCTCCTTTAGAAGTAAGCCTCGGCCAAAACTCCGTAGTGCAAGCAGCAACACCCAATCCACACATGCCAATAATGTCTGTATTAAACTTGCCAAGACACAAGATAACAATCCAGTTAGTTCCACAACAACATTAAAAGCGCCAGCCACCAAACACGCTAATTATAACTAGAAGTGAGTGACAACTTTTGTCATTATAGTGACTTGATATGGACCTCAGATAAGTAATATTGCCATCCACAACTGATTCAGCCTCATATCACATAAATCAAACATGCGCATGCGCTCACACACACACACACACACACACACACACACACACACACAGAGTTGCCAATTAAGCCTGCAGCAAAAGCTCCACATGTGTGCATAAGCACCACTGCCAATGGATCAAACAGCAGCAGACCAGATCTACACCATGCAACTGTACTTAGAAAGACAATTAATTAAGATTCTACATAGACAAGAGGACCTGTCTGCAGCAACAGAACAGGTGAGCAACTGCGATTCGGCAAGCAAGCACCCCCCGTCTCTCTCTCTCTGTGCACCTTATCCATCACAACCATATGTGTGAGTCTTTTGAACAGGCCCTTGGGACACAGTACACTACAGAGCAACACCTGTCAAGTTTGACAGCTGAGGAAGAGAGGAAAAAAAAAGGAAAAAAAAAAAAACTATATGGGTCCTGTTGGCCGACACTCACTCTGTCTCTCTCTCTTTCTTTTTTAAGTGTTCAGTACTGAAAGTCAGCCGCAGTCACGCTAATGAAGAAAGGTCGGTATATTTAATCAGATGAGAGAGAGAGCGAGAGAGAGAGAGAGAGAGAGAGAGAGAGAGAGAGAGAGAGACAAAGAGAGAATAAAGAGCGAGGGAGAGCAAAAGAAAAAAGAAAGAGACATACTAATGAAGCATGTCGGCAAGTGCGCAGCCGAGGAAAAAGAACAGGACAGATTAGAAGAGGGGAGAGAGAGAGAGAGAGAGAGAGAGAGAGAGAGAGAGAGAGAGAGAGAGAGAGAGAGAGAGAGGGAGGGATAGAAGGGAGAGAGAGTTAGTTTGGAGAGATGACAGAAAACTCACCGTTTGTTGCAGGTCGGGGATGCCTATGCGGACGACCAGCGTGTTGCCCTGGGGTTCCTCCATGGGGCCAGCCGGCGCTCGGCAACCGTCACCGTGGGAACGGCGGGAGCTGTCCCCCTGGCTGGCGGTGCTGGAGAGGCGGTGCGGCGCAGGCTGAGGCTGAGGCGGCGCGGGGCGAGAGTGGATGAGGCGAGGGAGCGAGAGATGAGGGAGAGAGAGAGGGAGGGAGAGGGGGAGGAGGAGGGCGGTAGACTCAGGCTGCTGGGGCTCAGGCTGGCGCTCACGCTGCTGCTCTGGACGCTGCTCTCGGGGCTGGGGAGGCTCATGTTTGCCCGCGCCCGCACTCACAGGCATGCTCTGTGTGTGTGGAGCTCCAACTGCATCGCCCTCTCGCGCACACACACACACTCATACTCGCAGCACTGCACTCACACACACACGCAAACACACAGGCACAGGGAGAAGGTGGGGGGGGGCACAAGAGGGGATTACAAAGGAAGAGGAGAGAAATGGAGTGATAGAGAGAGGAAAGAAGAAAAAAAGGTTAAATGTCTGCCATGATAAGGATTTCAACAACTGAAAGAAAACTGCAGGCTATAAACAATGAGAAACAATAACAAAGCATGACAAGATGAATTCAGTCAGTGATGCAGTACAAAATGCCATATTGCAGATTTATCTCTGGCTTGTCCAAATACTTAGCCTAACTGCAAAGATAAAATATACAACGTATATAACAGTCAAATATGAGCAAGAACCTTCACGGAGAGGAAAAGCAAACAAATAAGAAACCCTCAATCTGAGGAGAATGCAAAGCTATTGGTATTGATTTATACTAATGTCATCTTCACAGTTCATTTTCTAAGCACCTGCAAGACATTTGATGTGGTTAGAAATGTACCGCAGGCACTTGTGTTAGTGAGAGAGAGAGAGAGAGAGAGAGAGAGAGAGAGAGAGAGAGAGAGAGAGAGAGAGAGAGAGAGAGAGAGAGAATCAGTGTTTTATCAGGCTTGACCATATGTTATGCTGCATCATTTGACGAGAATCACGACCCAACCAGTTCCCCTAAAGGAGAAATGCAACAAATGCAGCAAATTCAGAAACATTTCTCACACAGACACTTTATAGAACTAGAACTTTCCAAGTGGGATAGCAGTAAAACACAAGTCTTGCCTGTATTTCTGTATTATATTTGTACGTGATAAAAAGATCATTACATGCTGATGCAGCATTACTGCTCTTTTACAATAATCAGAGGTATGTGCCACCCGACTGGGGTATAAAGATAAATCTGATTTCGCTAAAAATAACAAACTTCAACGTTATGAGTTTTATTACTCCTGAAGAAAAAGCACAGTCATTTGAGAGTGGATGCATGCACAGCATAAGCCTTTCCCACTGACTGTCTTGATCACTGACAGTAGTTTTCATGAAAGACAGTAAATGAGAGACCCTCACTATCACCAGAGGGGAGCATAGGTGATACAGTTATACAACATTTCCAATTTTTTTTTAGTTTTTATACCATTTGAAAGCAAGCTGCCCTTTATTTTGTGTGAACTTCATAATGGACCAACAGAATGGTTGACAACACATTTAACCCCTTAACAGACAGGACCAAATGTTTATTATCTATTTCACTAGTTATTTTATTATATTTTATTATTACAATCAGTTCTCACTGAAGTGCTTGTAGTTACTAAATACTAATCTTTAGTATGTAATAAGCCTGAGATTTTAAGGGGTTAACTGAAAATTGAACAGCCTCAACAACTAAAAACAATAACAATTCACCTTCATTACAGCTTCCATTATTTTTTGGGAGGCTTGCTTTCAGTTTTTTACAGCTTTACAATTTTCTTGCTTTATTTTTTCAAAAATAGACTGAGGAAATATACAATCACTATCAACTGTTTCAGTATGTAATCTTTCCATGCTTAGCTTTTATTATAGCTTCTATTCTTTCTGAGAGAAGCTACAATTTTTTTTCCCCCACACCTCCAAAGTTCAGTCTTAGACGTTGGTCGCATTTTCTGATTCTCAAGATCCAAGTAATCCCAAACACATTCAGCGATATTGAGGTCTGGACTCGGGTAGTCCATCCTTTGTTCTGAGAACACCAGCAGCTTCTTTGATTTATTGGCAGATATTCTTATTTTTGTCTATTTTGTTTTCTTAGTTACGGCATCTTGTCAGATACACATCCTTTCAGACTCAGTGTTGAGTTGTCTTCTCACAGTGGAAGGATGGACTGTAACAGCTTCTTCCAGATAATGTCAGATCTGTCGCAAGAGTGAAGTCAAAGTTTATTTATATAGTGCTTTTTACAACAGGTGTTGTCACAAAGCAGCCTTACAGAAAAATCCAGGTCCGAGCTCCCATGAGCAAGCGAACAGTGCCAGTGGCGAAAGTGGCAAGGAAAAACTCCCTAGGAGCAAGAGACAGAAACCTTGAGAGGAACCAAGACTCAAAAGGGGAACCCATCCTCCTCTGGTAGACACCGGATAGCAAACAACCTTGTGTGGACCACTCAAAGTCTCAGTGGTCTACCAGGACCTGCATGGTTGTTAAGAGTCCAACTTTTTTTTTTTCATTTTCATGTACTCCAGTTTTGGAAACCCCTTGGAAACCTTGACCTTCCTCTTCCTTTTGCAAGTGGATTGTGTTATATCTCCTCAGAAATTAAAAATGAATAACAATGGTCATTTTGACTGGAAATGAAACAAACAAAGGGTGGTCTCTGACTTCTGAACTACACATTAAAATTTAAGCATATTTTTTCTTCTCCTATTAAGCTACTATTTCAGAAATACACGTCTTTTGACAATGATGACAATGCATGTGTGTCTGAGTGGACCACTGCAGCTGCCGCTCTACAGAGGGGGTGTCCCCTCCCACTGATGTGATGACACTGTCATATCCCTCTCTCCAGCCTGGATCAATAGGAATACCCTGCAGGCTCTCTCCGTGTGCCCTTGTGCTTCTCTCTGCTGGGCAAAATCAGTTTCCCCATCCAACCCCCATCTCTCCATCACTCCACTCACTCACTCCATCAAACTCGCTCCAGCACTGAGAGCAGCCAGTGCAGCAGACTCTCACTTTCATTACCTCTCTCTCTCTCTCGCCCTAATTCACTTTCTTTTCCTGAAATGGATCTCTCTATCTGTGTCCTATCATTGTAATGGTGATCTCTCTCTGTCTTCTTCCCTCTCTCACACACTTTTTTCCCCTCCCTTTCTGTCTCTTTATCACTGAGCTTCCACTCTAGCTCTCTCTTTCTCTTTCTGTTTCGCTCCATCACATACGCATATGATGATTTTCTAAGCTGTCATTTCAGTGTAATTCACACAAATCCACTCACAGCCTGTTTCTCTATAGAGCAGCAATCAGAGACGGTCAACAGACACAAAGACAAAACATTTTAAACTGCAGTTGATACAATCGTTTAACCAGTAGAGACAGAGAGACAGAGAGACAGACAGAGAGAGAGAGAGAGAGAGAGAGAGAGAGAGAGAGAGAGAGAGAGAGAGAGAGAGCTGGCTTCATCTGCTGGCTTCATTTACTTATCTATTTTTAAATTCTAAATTTTATTCTAGATGATTTCTGATTTAAGCTTGAAATGCACTCTTAATTAAGCTTAAAATGGAAATTTGTAAGTCTTTCAAATTCTCTTTGAGTATTTCTCCTGCTGAGTTCGTCATCCCTGTGAACTTCCTCTAACCCATCTCATGTCTGTGTGGGTGTGTAAAAATCAGGGAAACAGGTCACTCTGCTGTTTCATCCAGCATTATCTCTGCCATTAGACCAGTATGCAGTAGTCAATTCCAAGTTCATTTACATAGCGCTTTTTACAACAGGAGTTGTCACAAAGCAGGTTTACAGAAAAACTGGGGCCACAAGCCATTTTCTTCCTCGCCATTGTCACCATTGAGCAAGCCAAGGAAAAAACACTCCCTAAGAGCAAGAGAAAGAAACCTTGAAAGTGAAACAAGACCATCCCAATACATCATCACTGTCATATCAACGCCTCATAACTCCATATTGTCCGTTTTTATTTCTTTACTGAATTTAAAAACAGCAGTTGCCCTTTAAACTATATGAACAATGCTCCAAAATTACTTAGAATAAAATCCTTCATTAACATGCATTAAAGTTAAAAACATTTTCTTTAAAAAAACGAACTTCTGTAAATTTACCATTTCTGAAATTCAGACAGCAACAATATTTTAGTATTCCCTTCAAACAAGCGCCACATTAAAAGCACTGCCCAGTCTTGCGGAGAGTGATTATTTTGCGCTTGCCAATGACGTGTTTCAATTTTCCATGAGCTTCAAATTATGCAAAACAAGTTTGTTTTATCTGTACCAGAAGTGGCACAGCACTGCCAATAAAGTAGAATGCTTTCACCTTTCTTTTTACAACAGTCATGAATGAACTACATTGTTGATGTGTATTTTGTACTTCTCTTACAATGGCAAAAATCTAAATGCATTAAATATGCACTTTGTGCATGCTTGATCACAGCTCTGCATGGACATTATGAAAGACCTGACTGATTACCCAGGAACATACTGCACCCAGCTGCTGGTCTAAAATATGCTTAAAACTAGGTGGCCACCTAGCTAACATTTGCCAACAACATTCGTGATGGTCACTGCAAAATAAGTTTTGGGATGAGACTGAAACTGTTACCTTAGGAAGTGACAAAAGTGACACCTGTATTTTACCTTCAAAAAGGCCACAGTTAGCACTAAATAAAACTGTCAATATGCTTTTTTAAATACTTTTTGTTCAGTAATTGTCATAAAGTACATATCATTTGTCATTCAGTTTCCTCATGGAAAAGGAAGGTCACTTTCTTGCACATTGTATTTTCATGGGGCATAGCAAGTAGGCTTCTCCAGAGACTCTGTATATTCACTAAAAAAAAAACAAAAAAAAAACAAAAAAGGTAAGCAATAGCTTGAAAATTATAGTGTAATGTGCCTCAAACACATCAGTGACATAACGGAGCCTGCTGTTTTGAAAAATGGCCTAAATCAGTAACTTTATGTAAGTATAGAGGGAAATAGAATAAAACTAATTTGAAGAAAGCTTCTAAGCTTCTTACAGAACAGAGGAACATAACACTACCATCTCATTCAGCTGGGAATATCTTTGTGGACAGTGAGTCCCACAGAGACATTATCGAGCTGAGACATTAATATCAGTTGAAATCCAGTCTCATTATTTCAAACACTCTTTAAAGAATGCCTCAGAAGGAGAGACTTTGAAAGAAACTGTACAAGAATTTTCTCAAATGCAACACCAACCACAGAAGCCAAGTCTGCTTAAAAGTCCACTTGACTTTCTCATGTGCCAAGGAAGTCCACATAGAGACACACAAACATGCACATTAAAGAGGTTTCATATATGCCGGCCT